CAGCAAATTGTACAATATCATGAATTAATTATCTCCAAAGTAGTTGACTTTGATTGGTTATATCTATTTTACTTTGGCTGTGTATTGCGCACAAGTCCAAGACTGCAGAAGTGAACCGCTGTCACATCCATCCAGTTTCGCAGGTGGCCTTCATTCTGATATAGAAATTGTCTGACATTTGCAAATGGTCTGACATTTCCATATTAGTTCCGATGAGCACGTTCTTCCCTGCCGTCTTAGGTCAACTTGGAAATGAGTGTCATACCTCGATAATAGGACTTTAAATAATTCTATACGCAAACAGATTTTAAAGAAGGCTTTCTTCCTCCATTAAGTAGGCATAGTCGTATCAGATACTAACTTGGAAATTAAACACTCAGAATATGGTTTTATATCGAAAATTTTCTTTCTTATATGCAGACTGCGTTCACTCCATTTAAGAAGCTCAAACTACCTCAAAATTTCAAAATAAACATTTCCAGACAAGAGATTTATACGAACTATATGCTGCCAGGAGAGTGAAACAGCAACACTCCATTGATATTTCAAAAGCCTTCGACTAGTTTGTTATATGCGACTATAAATAAATACGCTACCCAAAAGTCGATCTAAGAAGCTTGATCTGCACTCATATTTTCACCACAAGGCAGCGAAGTTTGAGATCAGAATTTTCCTTCTCTTAGATGTACTTCCCTCCAAGACTTATGAGTACCATTTACCTTATTTAAGTTTGCTATTCCCAAGTTACATCACTCTTAACGAAAACTCATCGTAGAATATACATCCTTTGTCTCATAATAGTTGTTCGACTTACATTTTTTATAGTACGGTTCCCTCTGTGCAAGGCCCGAGAGTCATTCGAGGAAGAAGGTTAAGTTAAGAGGTACTTTATATGGGAAGGAAGGGAAGATAATGCTTAACCCTAGACTTGAACAGGTTAAGATTGTAGTGATCTGGGAAACATTCTCTTGGGAGTCGGTTACACAGAGCAGTGGTTCACAGGAGCTGTTTGAAGGAATGCGGATGGTTTGCTTCAATATAAGTGGCATGGTGGGTCCTAGCTGTGAAGGTTGAAACCAAGGAATGTAGTTCGTCTGAGCACTTTCCATGGTAGTAGCGATGGAGGAAAGAGTCGCTGGCTACATTCCGTCTGTGAGAGAAGGGTGGGAGGGTGGAAAATAATTTGTCACTCAAAAGCACTCGGAAACGCTTTGAACTCTATCGATACTAGAAAGTGATAATTTGCCAGCTCGTATCAAAATATGACAACAGTACTCCATTTGGTGCCTGATCTGGCTCTTGTAAAAATAGAGGATAGCATGAGAGATCAGGTACTTACTGGAGCGCTACAGGGAGCCGACCATTTTTCCTGTATCTTTGGCGAGGCACTGTATATAAGAGTTCCATTTGAGTTCAGGGGTGAGTTTAAGGCCCATTAGTCTCTTAAAGCCCGGAACTTCCCCGAGTTCGGCGGTAATAGAATATAACTAGTTTGGTTTTCGAGGCATTGAATGTAATCAGTCAGTTTCCCCCTCCCCACTGTGTAGTTAGTGTTAGATCGGAAGAGAGGTCAAAGGCCTTCGCCAAGTCCACAAACACCATATACAACTCCCAGTTTTTCTCTCGATTCTTTTCTGCAACTTGACAAAGAGAAAACATCAATTGTGCCACGACCCCACCAAAAATCACACTGCGATTCAGGATAGATGTCGTCAACAAGGTGTATAATGATTCTGTTTAGAATTAGTCTAGCTAGGATTTTGCCTGCAATTGAAAGCAGTGGTATCCCCAGACACTCCTGATACCTTTAATTTTTGCAGAGGTTGTTTGATAGAGGCGTCTTTATAATCCTGCGGGACACAGCCTGCCTTTCATATCTCCACGAAAAGTAGATGCAACTTTTTTACCAACTTTTGGCCACCATGCTTATATACTTCAGGTGGAATAGGATCATAAGGAGTAGATGATTTTCCAGATGAGATTTGCTTGATGGAGTCACTTACCTCTTGATAGTTTGCCAAACTCTGATCATCAACAGTTTTAGAGGTGAACCCGTACATCGTCGTATCATAGACAGAGATGTTTACAATTGATCTGAATACATTTTTAAGCAAATCAATAATGCAAAACAAAAAGAGGGTTGGTTGCAGAAGTAACCTCTGGGATACGTATTGCATTAAATTTGTGAACATCTGCATTACAGTGAATGCAGCAACTAATAGAGTAGAGAAATAGTAACAACGTAAATAACATTTGCTCAACTACAAAAAAATTAAACATTACAGCAGCGTTTCACTTGCACACTATAAAAAATAACAATTTGTGTTGTAAAAGTCCCCTTGCTGGGGAGCTCTTGGTCATCGGTGCCAATTTAATACGATGTTGTATACCCCTACCTCGTGCTGGAGAGTTCTTAGGCGACAGCATCGATTCGATAATAAAGTTGCATTCTTCTCTCTCGGCCGGTGACCACTGTTTTGATTCCAGAGATAAAAGAACTTTAACATAGGGAATTTTAACTTAACTATTTTATTAATCACGTCGACATCTACATTTTTATCTATCCAGTGGGTTTGCTCTTCCTCCACTGGGAAGCCGTTAGAGACATGAAAGAAAACACGTCTAAATTGTTCGACGATTAAGAAACAACTCACTGAAAACCCTTCTCTATCTATCGTTCTCATGCTGGCTCAGCCAATCAAAATCGACTTCCTTTATTTTGTCTTCTATCTAACCTCTAAGGTCAACCTCAGGAAGTCCAAACAGAGATACACTTCCTCTAAAAAAGAATAATAAACAGCTAAACTATTATTTAACACTTGCTCGTAAATTTTTCCAGACGAAAACATATAGGCGTTCAATTAACGGAAGATTGGTGATTTAGACCCGGGAACCCGCGCGCGCGCACACACACACACACATATACACAAACATACACACACATACACATCACGCGTACAGGCCTTTCTATGTAAATATCAACGCCAATGACACGACTATATACAGGCGCACCTCTGAAACTCGTGATGATCAGAGGTTGGCAGCTGATTTTTCATGTGTGTACTGCTGTATGTTTCTCACTTTCTATTAAGGTTATTAGTAGGTATTCTTTGAAAAGACATGACTCCATTTCCTCTTCCCAGCTATGGGTTAAATAGTAGGCTTTTTTATCTTTTTATTTTTCATTGCTATTCTTTAAAAAATTGTTAATGCTATTTACACTTACAAAAAAAACAAATAATTATTCTTACAATCCTAAACGGTTCGACTTGATATAACCCACAAAAGGGTCGATAAATCGTAAAGAACAAATTCTCCTCTTCCTTTTTGCCAAAGTCTCTTTTAGTCCAAATTAGTTGGTAGCTAAATAGCTGACTTCTCCGTACAGTGAGTACGTTGGCTTCAGTTTCAAGTTAATGAGTCAGATCACGAACTGATTCGCGTTTAACGCACAGGCATGACCACCTCATAGCTTAAAGGCAGGTTAAATCTGCTTGTTATGAACGTCAATTAATGTGCAAAAGGCAACGAGAAAGCGCCTTGATTTTTTTCTATAATTAGGACGGAACAAAACCAAACCAACTGCCGCCGTATGGCGGGCTAATTAATTACTGAGATATGTAGAGTCGACATATTTATGAACTGATCTTTTAATCAGAAATACTGATGGCTGGTTTGTAGCGCGTCTATAAATGACATCATTTGTTTAATCAACGCATTTGACATGAAAGCTACTAATAAAATCATCTAAACGGAAACGAATCTCAGGTTAATTTTAACATCTCCTGTCAAGTTTAAAGTTCGAACAAAATTACTTAATGAAACAATTTCATGATGTTGGGAGGAATCTCTTCTTGGTCGGACCAAGAGATTTCGCGTATATGAATAAAGATAAAAGTTCTATATGAAGTATATACCAGTAAATGTGATAATAGACGAAGTCATTGACCGAGCAGTTAGCGTTCGCGTCGTTTGAAATATGTAAAAAATCATTTAAAAAATGTTTTTCTTTTCAAGAAATTAACCTTCTGAAGTTCACTGTTCTTACTCCTTCTAGCACATATTTTCCTTCCTAAGCTTTTAATTAATGTTGTGTGGAAAGTAAGCATCATTTTTTTTCCTTCTACTTAAATTTTTTTCTCATTTTCAATGCTGTATCAGTTCTTCATTTTAAATGTTTTTGTTATTTAGGAATGCTTTTCGCAATTTATAGCGCCATTTTACAGGATTTGTGGAAGGATGATCTTATTTAAAACATAAATGATTCATTCGTTTGGAACCAATTTTAAAAAGTGATCAGAGAAACGCTTGTATGCATATGATATTTTTAATATATCTGTACGTTTTGGAAGCCATTCATGACATCCACATGAGAGTGTAGTTATGTCGAGATTATTAAAAATATTACTCGAGTTTTCGGAATGATAATTTGTTTTTTGATTGATTCATTCATTCATTTTCTACGGCTTATCAACCCTCTGAATGTTATTTAAAGACAAAAAATATCTTTTAGATTCTAAGAATGTTTTTGGATATATTAATGATTTATAGATACAAGTCTTACTAATATAATGTGTTTCTTGTTATCTAATTCCTTCTAATATGCTTTAACTTTATAAAGTGTATTAGAAGGAATTAGATAACATTTTTTTACAATTAATACGACTGTGTTGCTCCAGGCTTCGAGCTATCTGATAGCCTAGGATTTTAATATAAGACATTCTTTTGTTATTTCTTGAACACAAAATACCAACAAAAAAAATAAGCAACTATTGGTTATTGCTGGTTTATTCATATTTTACGGTTTATCAACCCTTTGCATGATATTCAAAGCCAGAAAATATATTCTGGATTATAATGTTTTTTAGATGCAATAATGTTTTAGTGATGCCAGTCTTACTAATTAACCCATAGCTAGGGGTAGAAGAGGTGGATTCATACCTTTCGCAAAAAAATCAACAATTCCGAGTCATTATTCACTACTCACCTGCACATCTAAGCTTACAACACCTGGTATTCCAAAGCGATCACCCATTTAGGTAGTGACCAGTCTCGACATTGCTTAACTTCAGTGATCGTACGGAAACTAATGTTTCGACGTGATGTGGCCTTAAACTATAATTACTTTTTTCCAGTATCTTAGGGTGTTAGATCAACGCACCTCAACTTTCAAGCGCAACTTAGTGTCCAGATTTTTTCTTTGAAATGGTTAACAATATATATTTGAATGTATTAAAAACCTAACTAATTAAACACAAGATTGTCAGTCGATTTATGAAATATATTTGCTGCCATTCTCGAGCGCTTAGCTTTAACTGTTTGAAAAATTGTCTTATAACCTTTTTCGGCAAAGGAGTTCCGCATCTGTCTTTTTAAAGTATTTCACTCAGATGAAGAGAAGCATGGAGGTAGCAGAAACTTGGTTATACAGAAAGATGCTTAGAATACCATGGATGGAGTGTGTACGCAACGAGGTCATCTTAAGGAAAATATAAAGTAGAATCGGAAAGAGACAGTAGAAATTTCCAGGACACAAACAGGAAATGAATGCTTAGAAAATTCATTAACATATTGGAAGATCTATATTGCATAATAGTTCATCACTTTGTTTCTAACAGCAATTTCCTGTTTCCCATTTGATCATCATCATCCTTCAACCTCCCCATGGTTGGTCGGAACACAATTAACAATCTCTTTCAACATTGTTCGGCCCTGTATTGCTGTACCCGGATCCCGAATGTCCAACCCTAAGTACCGACCTATGGTGTCCGGGGAAAGTCAACTTTCGCGAAAAGACACTTTCAGGAGGATGCTATAGAAGTACGTATGAGATGATTTCCCCGTCTGCTCGATGGCAGTGACCGGTAAACAGTAATCGTTTTTGTTTGAGCTTAAGAGAAACTGGTCTCAGTTCTCCGTAAATTGTGTTAAGCGTTGCAAGGGATCTCCAACTGATGATCTGGATTTTTCTAAGTAGATTTGTATATGCTCCATCGAGTCGTCTTTCAAGACGAACAGGTAATGTTCAAGTTTCTCATCACTATAGTAGCACTAGTTCAATGTTCGAAAGATTTGAATTTTTAAGGAGGAAGAAAGGTTCGAGCGCTAAATCTTGTGAAGTTCGTTACACAAACCCTGCAAGAGCTTTGCTGATGTTGAAGTCTTTTTGGGAATCTATTATGGGAGATCCAAGATATTTGAAGCCCTCAACTCTTTTGATAGATGTATTATTGAGTTATGTTTCGTAACACTTTGTATAACATTTTAGGAGAAATATTTAGCTTTTCCAGTGCGTCTTCGGATTTCGGTGTCACATTTTTCGCTCTTCTGGTAGAACACATTCTAGGCATATACATTTTCGTACGTGTTTAATTTTGACGTTTCCAATTTGTTGTACGCTTCCTGGACTGTTTATTTTGCTGGCAATCATAAAATCCGTTCTACTTCCAACTCATAGTTAGTCCTTTCTTCTCATTCTCCTTTACGACTTTTTGTAGGAGTTCTTGTAGTTTCTTTCCTGTGTTCGCTATTAACATTGCGGCACCTGCGATGAGCTTTGAGTTCATCACTTTGAGCCAGAGACAAGAAAAAATCCAAGCAATAGAAACACCCCTACTCACCTGTTCCAAAGAAAGCCAAGGTCGTTTCAGATGCAGGAATGAAAAATACATTGTGACTATTGAATATCTTCAAAAGGGCCTCACCATTAACAGAAGGTAATATATCAACATGCTGAGGCAGTTATGAAATTCTATGAAGACCAAACACCCAGAAAAACTGATGAAAGGGATCTTGTTTCATTAGCACAATGTTCAAGTACACAAGTCCTTTGTTTTAATGGCTGCCGTACTATTCTCCTGATTTGGCCCAGTCTATCATCTGTTCTCCAACATGAAAACACTTGGCTAGTAAACAGTATCGCATTGATGATGACGTCATATCTGCTGTTGATGACTTTTTGAACAACAGGATGAAAGCTTCTGGGCAATTGGATTCAAGGGCCTCAACACCGATTGAAGAAGTGTGGGGGCTGCCACACTACTCAAAACCTCCTGATCAGAGGCCTTGCTGCTGGACCTAGTTTATCGTCTTACCCATGACGTGGATGTAGTTTAACGTCTTACCCAAGACAGTGCATATAATAAGTTGATTATCTCTGCCTATCAATCTGTTTTTGTTTTATAAAAATGATATAGTTTTGCATTAAATAACCTGGAAAAGGTTTATACACCGTAAAACTTAAACAAAACTTAAATAAATAAGGTAAAAATAAATTATGAGAAAAGTCTCACAAGCCATTCAAAGTGATTTCCAGCAATGTAGCTTAGATTTGGAATAATAAAAGAAAGTGTTTTTCTTGATTTTGGCAAGAATTGCCTTTCTCTCAAGTGCTACATATTAATTTAGAGTAACTTTTTTAAAATCATAGCAACTTAGATTCCAAGCGTCTCCTTAGAGTGAAAGATAATTATAAGATTTAGAAGGAAGCCGAAACACGATTTTAAATAAGAAACAAAGGATGAACCTCTACTCCTGTTCAAAAACCCAGGGAGGAGTGTGAATAGGTGAACCATATCTACTTCTATTGAGAAGAAAATAAATAAATAAATAGTAAATAAAATTTCAGACTTCAGGTGGAGACGTTAGAAATATAGAGTTGGAGTAATCTTTAGAAGGAACTGGAAACCCAGTCCGAAACAGGAAACAAGAGATAAACCTCTACTCCAGATCAAAAGACCGGAGAGAAGTGTGAACCGGGTAACATGCGAACCTAACAACAACCTATCGAGGAGAGAAAAAAATAAATAGATAGTAAATAAAATTTCAGACTTCAGGTGGAGACGTTAGAAGTATAGAGTTGAAGTAGACTTTAAAAGGAAACGGACACCTAATCCTAAACAGAAAACAAGGCATAAACCTGTTCAAAAAACTGGGAAGGTCTGAGATGTTTATGATATATTAAGGAATTTGTTTGTTCATTGTAGATTGTGGTTATCGAAAATCTGGCTTCTTTCGTTCAATGAAATTTATTGTTAATGTCTTACAGCTTAATTCTAATAGCTGAGATGAAGTGCATACTGATGGCACAAGAAGGGTGACAACATAATGAGTTCAATAACCAACCGAGTGTAATGCGTTCATTTTCGGACATTTTAGCCGACCGACATTTAACCGAGTGGACAATTAGCCAAAAATGTAATGGCGTACTTACGTGTATGTCACACCCTTTTATCGTAATGTGCTATATATATTTATATTTATTTACTGTATTAATTTACAATTTTTCGTTTTTTCTAACAGACTTTTTTTTAACTCTATTCTGTAGATATTATATTTTACTTCAAATATTACTGCAAGATGATAAGTATTTTGAAAAAATACAGCAAAAATCTTGAGCTTTTACGATATGAAAGATCTTACAATTTCGCTTTTAAAAAATACTAATTTCAATAAACAAATATTGAAAGAAGAAAACTTTTAACTTTAAATTTAGATTTAGTAATTTAATCACTTGAAATTCAGTGGTAATTATTTAATCACTTGAAATTCAGTTAATTATTAGTCCTATTCTACCTTAACTTAAATGCTAATTAAAATACTTAAAGTATTGCTTGTTACTATTTTTACTTGTACTTTTTTGGTGAAATATCCGTCGGCCAAATGTCTGTCGGCCAAATGTCTGACCACGTTCCATCTATGGGTTAGCAGAGCAGACTTGACTTTCAAAACTTCGTTGGTAACCAATCTAAGAGAATAATAACTCTGATTTCAAAAATTGATTGGCGTAGGTCTGCTATTCCAGCCTATTTGCTACATAGAGCACAGCAGCAACATCTGGGTTTTCGACAAGGAAATCAAAAGGGACAAAGGGCGAGATTTGTAGAATGACTGTCAAAAAAAGTAACTCTGAATATGTGTTCTGTGATGGCTATATATTGGTCAGTGATTCCATAGATAAAAGTACGAGGGTGGGCTTAAATGTCCATAGGCTGACTATGAATGATTTGTGGTAGAAATGTGAAATCTTGCATGCACTAACTTAACCTGTTCTGATTAATTTCTGCGTTGTTTCTTTCCGGGTAAACTGACATTTCAAAGAAGACATTTGAACTGACTGTTCAAAGAAGACATTTGAACTGACTGTTCAAAGAAGACATTTGAACTGACTGATCAAAGAAGACATTTGAACTGACTGTTCAAAGAAGACAGTATACCCCGTGAGAGAGTTGAGACTATTCTGCACAATGAACTTGAAGGTTTTTGCTCAGTGGATTCCACATCTTTTGACACCAGAACAAAAGCGTACCAGGCTGATAACATCACAGAAATATCTGATATTGTTTGAGTCAGATAGAGCTGGTTTCCTTGAACATTATCTAACCCACGATGAGTGTTGGGTTCATCACTTTGAGCCAGAGACAAGGAGAAAATCCAAGCAATAGAAACACCCCTACTCACCTGTTCCAAAGAAAGCCAATGTCGTTTCAGATGCAGGAATGAAAAATACATTGTGACTATTGAATATCTCACCATTAACAGAAGGTAATATATCAACATGCTGAGGCAGTTATGAAATTCTATGAAGACCAAACACCCATAAAAACTGATGAAAGGGATCTTGTTTCATTTGCACAAGGTTCAAGTACCCAATTCCTTTGTCTTAATGGCTGCCGTACGCGACTGCGACTCTGGACTAGTTGATCACCTTCACTATTCTCCTGATTTGGCCCAGTCTATCATCTGTTCTCCAACATGAAAACACTTGGCTAGTAAACAGTATCGCAGTGATGATGACGTCATATCTGCTGTTGATGACTTTTTGAACAACAGGATGAAAGCTTCTGGGCAATTGGATTCAAGGGCCTCAACACTGATTGAAGAAGTGGGGGGGGTTGCAAAGGGGACTATGTTGAAAAATAAAGCTCATTTGGTTACATTCCATGCGAGTATCTTGGTCAGACTATGAACTTTTCAGTCAACCCTTGTAAGAGTAACAAAGTGAGCGTACAATTCGTTAATTGGATTAAACAACATTGGAAAAAAAGCGTATTTGGTGAGCCTCTTTTTTGTGTGAATTTCGGTTAATAGGGTCAAAATTGGACATGAAGA